TGATCAAGAATTCCCTGTGGGAGTCCTAATGCATTTTAGCTGCAGTTATTGCTCCTGAATAACACCTGTTTCTGAGTACACACTTAATTCTATTCATCAATACTCCGCTCTTCCCTCAGCAGCCCTGTTAATAGCATTTTGAAAGTGCACTCTCAATGAAATCCTTCTCTGACAAATGAATTTGGGAAACTAAGGGATTTCCTTCTGTGTGTTCGCCTTTTTGGGCACACAGACAAATAAAGTCCATCCCCTTCACCTGCTCCAACCGAAGGAAAAAAAGGAGGTAGAAGTGATGTCTCAAGATACTAAATGATGAGCTGGTCCAGGACAATGAGTGATTAGACTACAGATAAGATTATTAGAGACTATAACACAAACATTCATCAATTTTCACCAAAATCCTTAATGATGGAGAGAGATGATGCATTTCTAACACTCCAGAGCTACTCCCTATTATTAGCCTTTCCTTAGCAAGATTCCTTTCCAAGGAAAGAACTCAAAGGCAAGTGTTAACTTTAAAAAAACGAGAGGTCTATGATTACCATCATCATATGTATTGAAGCATCCACTTAAGTCATCTGTTGAATGTGGACAGATTTAAGTCTGTGCCTAAATGCTTTGCTAAAAAGAAAGCCAAACTGAACTGCTTAAAATTAAATGCTTTTGACAAAATTTCGGCAACTCTCTATTGTGTGACACCAGTACTGAAATGCTAATCAACTGACTCAAATTAAGTTTATTACTAAGGAAAGCCATAAAGACATTTCTAACCACTGTATTGCTCGCTCGGTTAACGTTATTTTGCATCAGAGAAATCAAATGCTTGACTGGCACTAGTGCAGCACCCTGGGGGAGCAAAACCTGCAGGGAGTCACAATCCAGAAGACAATCCACAGTTTCTTCCATATCAGCCTGAAATGGTATACTGGTTGCTTTCCAGGCCTTTAGCTATGTTAGCACATATAGAAAAGTCTAACGTCAGGAGGCTGCCAAGAAAGTAATGGCAGCTACATGGTGAGATCTGCTCTGTGTGCAGAGAGCTCTTTTAAATGTAGAACAAATGGAGCTCCAGCAGGGAAATCAAGTGTGGGAGACCACGCAAGCTGCTCAGAAGCCATTTCATGCACATGGCAGGAGCTGCACACTCCAACGTTGCGTTAATGTCACACGTCCAGGAAGCCACAAGGCCGAGGGCTAGAGATGGCCATGCTCCCCAACAGTCTTCCCCACCCTGATGGTCACGAGGTAGCAGAGCTCCAGTTTTACCCTATTGTCTTTGAAATCAGATGTGATAGAGGTTAAAACTGTGCTTTGAAATCATACCTAACACATCTGAGTCCGGGCTCTACAGTCTGTACAGAAGCAGGCACAACAGCAATAAGCAATGACAATTATTTGCTAAGTGCTTCAAGGACCAAAGTCAGAAATGCATCTTCTCCAGCCTGTATTTCTATCAAGTAGCAATAAAAAGTAGAGACAGACTCATTAAGATATACTGGGGCAAAGAGAACATCAGAACATGTTCACACATCTCATGAAACATCAGTTAGCCATTCTAGTTCAGACCTCATCTCTGGGCCATTTTCAGCACAGCTAGTTGGGCAGGGGAATTAGGCTGTAATTTTCTCAGGGACCCCAAGGGAGCTAATTGCCTAATCTTGACAGAAAATTCGGGTCTTAACTTGGAACTGCGAATGGCAGTAACTGCTCCCATAATCAAATACCATAGTCAGTGATCCTTTGGTGCTTTTGTTCCTTAAACTGTCTCGCACTGTTTGGCTTGACATTTCAAAAATGAAAAGAGGGGAGGGAAAAAAAAAAGCACATTCTGGTTTAGTTATGTTCTTCCATTTCTGGTCATTAAATAGCAGCACCATAGCTCTGCCTATAAATCAGGAAAAATGCAGACATCTGAACAAACAAACCTACTGAAAAAATAATGCATTACAGCTGCAAAAAAAGTAAATATGGATTTTTTTTTTTTTTTTTGTGCCTCCAGGATAACTATCACAGTAAAAATAAATACAGATGCTAAAAGCAGAGGGATTGTGCAAGCTATATCTGGTACAAGACTATGCATTTTATTAGCATAATTTACATTCTAACAGGGTCCAAGCTAGTGCTGAGCAACATCAGGAGTACAGTTTGAGCACTCGAAAATCAGAGCCACACAGGGTCCTGCTGCTTTCTTTTTGTCACAACAGAAACTGAAGTTAACCCTTTCAGTACTTCACAGATCTCTCAAAAATACATACAGATCCCCAGATGCTGCTCTGAATCAATGCAATCAAAATAAGACATATTGAGGAGCAAATTGAGGCCATGGGTGGTTCTTCACAGGACTCTAAGCTTCATCTCTGGAATTTGGACTGTTTCAAAGAAGGCACCAATGTAACTTTAGCCCGAAAAAGGCTAAAGAGTGTGGTAAGAGTTACACACATTGTATCCACTACTAAGACCTTCCAGGTGGCAAAGAAGGTGTATGGGAAAACTGTCAGGGTATGAATTATTCTTAAACCTTTTCTAAAGAGGAAAATAATGATTAGTCCCCATTTTACTTAAGAAGTTTGCATGCACATACAGTCCAATCATACTTAACTGAAAACCATCAGCTCTATGAAATAGAGCTACTGAACTCCAAATATATATAAAACCCAGGAGACTTGTAAAGTCTTCAGCTGCACAGTCTGTTTTGCTTTTGATAGAGGTGTGCACAGCTAAGGCTGCTCTCCTGTAATGCGGAGGTGTCAGTGTACATTGTTCCTCTCCTGATAATGCAAAGAATTGCATGAGTTGAGGTGTTGCAGATGTTGGATGCTGCCCTGTCCAGGTTAGCAATGTCCCCCAGGCCAGCAGGTATGACATGACTGTTCTTCAGAAAAAAATGGGGCCCGAATTGCTCTCTCATATGCTATAAGAAAGTACTAGTTCTAGGGTGTTGCTGTTTTGTTTATTTTGTAATAAACAATTTGTAATTAGGGGTAAAGACAGGATTGCAAGTGTAACATGGACGCAGGCCACTGATTTTCTTGCTGTAAGGCGATGGATTTGAAGTGATGCAGGCACACCGAGGCTCCCATTTCATCACCTGCCACACAAGGACCACAGCAACTTCTGAAGCCAGCAACTTTTCAACCAGAGTCTGTATTTTAGAGTGACTTTTGGTCTTATAGACAACTGAAGAATAGCTACTGCATGAACCTTCATTAAGTGACTCAGATGAAGGTTAAATTTGCTAACATCATTATCATTATCAACAAGCTTAAGGAGAGAAGGAATCCTTCCTGATACTTCTGAGCTATTTTTACCTCCAAAGAGTAAGGACCAACGCTCTTTTTGACGCTCTCTTCAGCCTAACAGCCCTGATTGCTTTATGGATATAAACATATCTCTTGTCTTTCCTCTGCACCCACACATTTATTGAGCTACCACTCTCAACAGCCACTAATGGCAGGGAAATCTACAAGCTGACAGTGCTGAATGTAAAAAGTACTACTTTTCCTTAAAATATGCACCTTTGAATTTTAAAGGATTAGTTCTGTGCCCCTGAAAGTATAATCTCATTCTATGTTTTTAATATGCTGCTATGTTTTTAATATGTTTTTAAGATCTCTTAAGTGGAGGATCTCTTTCCTTTCCCAAACTGAACTGAGTGAGGCTCCATAAACTCCATGTGTGTTGAGTCTTGCCATTCTAGTGCTTCCTACAACTTCTGTTACTCTTTGAGGAACTGAAGCAACCAAAACTAAATACTGAATTCACAAAGAAGACAGTCTATCAACTAAAACAACAAAAAGGTAATATTTTTCAACTGATTACCTTCCTAAATGTATACTGTGTGTTGTATTTGGTTTCTGGAACCCCCCTGCATACTAAGTGGATGCCTTTATGAAGCTGTCATCTGTGACGTGGATATCTTTCTCCCAACGGGTTATGAGGGATTCAAAATCCAATAATGCAAATGTGTCATTTTAAACCACCCCTTCTGCTTCAATTACCTTGTGAGTTCATCCTGAACTCCAGCTACCCGCTGTCCAGTGGCCTCCTTCTCTGCAGGCCTTCAGTAGTGCCCTGACAAGCAGGCATGCTGTTCATTAACTGAATAATTTAGAGTCTTTCTGAAAACACATGGTTGCAGCTTTATTACTCACTCCTCATCCAGAATATTGCTAAACATAGTGAGTTAATCTGGTTCTACTATTAAGCCTCAATGCCTTTTGTTATGAGTCTTTCCATTCTATATTTATTGATCATGTAGCTGATTGCATAATTTTGTCACTTGCCCTCTCGTTTACATATTCCCTTAGATACTAGTTATCAGAGACCTTGTCAGAAGACTTAAATCTGAATAGACAGATTAGGCACAGTTGTAGCTTTGGGTTTTTTTGTGGCTTATTCATGTAAAAATCTTTTTAGAATAATTCTTTAATGGGAGGAACAGCGCAGACAGACCATCTTGCCCTTCACTTAATTACAGCAACAAAGGTGAAGTGTAAAGCAAATCTGAAATCACAAACAAAAGCTGTGCTTATTGAAGCTCTATACACTTACCTGGGTTGTTCACTGAAATCTATGTGCATGCGTGCTGCAAGAAGCAAGACTACAAGGTAATGACTCATGCACCTTTCCTCCCTCTACCCAAGCTCATAACACCTCCTTTGGCACGATGTTAACATGGCCCCCAAATTGCATTTAAATGTGATTCACATCTGATGGCATCGTTTTCTATGCACTCCAGGCTCTTGGGTTTGTTTGGTTTGGTTTTTAAATGGCTGATGCCCTGGGAACACTGATGACCTTGAGCGGTGGCCAGGCTGGGGCACAAGAGCCCAGTCTGGCAAGGTTGCTTGTGCATTCGTGGAGCCTCCTTCCAAGAGGGTGTCTCAAGGCAGGCGGGCGCCTGATGTGCATACCAAGCCTGGTGCTTCGTGATTTATTTATAGAGGAAAGGGGCCTACAAGTCTGCTGCAGGGGAAAGAAAAGCCAAGAAGCTGCCTTACCTTGTCAGTGTAGACGAAGAAGAGAATCACAACAGTGAGCTCCAACAGAAATACAATTAACAGCATGATAAAAAACTGTCAAGAGAAGAAGGGGCAGGGGAAAAAAACAAAACCAAGAAATGTCAAAATCTGCTTGATTTATTTGGGATATGCAATAACTATATTCAGCAGATTCTGCAGATGGGGAGAGACAGACACCCAGGCTGGCAGTCACAGAGCTGTGGAAGTACAAGTCAAGAGAGGGCAGGTGCCACACAACTGCCCTGGGACTCTCTGGCTTCAGCAGAAGTGCATAAACCCCTGCAGAGATCTGTCTCCAAGCATGGCAGAGGCTCTGTCTGATGATAGCACTGGAGGACTCCTCCTGAGGAGCTCCAACAAGGTCTGTGCAGGCTTTGGTGCAAGCCCTGGGCACACAGATCTGCAAAGACGGGAGACAGACATTTTGGAAAGTTTCTTGCCATTTGATTTCAGTCAAAAGTGCAGCCTTTTCCACTGCACTTTCTATCACAGCACCCCTATGGCATCAGTTTACAATTTTGCCACACCTTAATTGTTTAGGCTTATATATTCCAAGCTGGCTTACGTATGAAGTATAAAAAGCCTTTGGAAAAGTTTGGGTAGAAGCTACCAGTGCTAGCACATCAGTGCATTTATTCTCTGTCTGCTAAGAAGGAGAAGCCTTCCTGAAGCCTAATGAAAGTGTCAGAAGGCAAAGCTAAGGCTTGAGATTGCTGTGGCTGCTAAGTGCAGCCCGCATGCTCCATCATGTCTTCTGACCCATGGGGCTGACATGCATGTATGGGCGTACACACAAGCTGCTCCTCTATTCCCACAGCACCTTCTAGCCAAGGTTCACTCGCTGTTCCAAGCTCAGCATCATCCCAAAGGGTACCAGGGCCACCCTGGGGCCGCAGCAGGTCTAACTTCTCCTCCTCAAGCTTTAGTGGGAGAAGTACAAGCTGGCTGGAAGCTCACAGCATCCACAAAGCACCCAAGACCCCACCAACCCTTCTGGAAGCTCTTTTCAAATGAATTCACTCACTGTGGTGATAAATAAGCAGAAGAATACAAATTAGTTTCATTGTGGTTCACTGGGGCTGCGGGCTGCTGATATAACACAGATTTATGCATGGAGAAACAATCCCAAAGCAAAGCATTCCAGTAAAACCCCGTACAGAAAGATTAAGCTAGCTTGTACAGAGAGATGCTTTCCCATCACGCTTGCCGAGGTGGAACATAACCTAGTCCTGGGGGAGCACCTGCTGTACAGCTCTCTATAAACCAAAGCAGAAGCAAGTCCAGAGCTGTGCTGGGAGAAGGCAGGCAGAGACCCATTTCTGCCTCTGCACCTCTGCTGATTTCCAGCTCCAGAAAAACTAAATTTCCCACTGAAGGACTAGAGAAGAGGATCTAGGCAGTTGCTGTGAAGGCCACCTCACAGCTAAGTATTGCTCTTCTGATGCTAGATAAATACAGAACAGAAAACAGGAGATCCAATTTGCAGGCTCTGTCCATCCCCAGTGGAGCTGTGCTAGGGTTTTGCCCCAGCAGCTCCTGTCACCCAGCACAGGTGGGTGCTAGAGATTAAAAAAAGTTCTTTTTTTCCCACTTTCGAAAGCAGAAGTGCTTAATATACCACTAGGTGTCATAAGAAGTTTGATTCCACATAATTCCCAGAAGGTATCTCGATTTGATATACTAACAGGGAGCAGGAACATTAAGAAAGGCTCCCTTAGTTCTTTAATTTTTCTTTTATTTTCTTTTCCAAGAAAGTTTTTGCTGACACCCAGCTTAAAATCTCCTTTTGGCAGTTGCTCCTTCCTTCCTCATGCCCTGTACAATTCCTTTTTGCTCGCAGCGTTTAGGCTTTTCACATATTTGCAGACTTATGTCCCACCTGAGCCCTCTCTCAGCCACGCTGTGCACATTCAGCTTGCTTAACATCGCCTCCGAAGTAAATCTCTTCAGTCTCACCATCATTTTTGCACCGTGTAAAAATGACACGTTTGCTCATAAACTGTAAAAAGGCAGTAATGTATACGGGCAAGCTTATGATCAGAAACTCCATTATGAACAGTATGTATCTAAATTTGGTTCCTCAGCTCTTATTCTCCGAAAGTCTTAACGTTTAATCCACTGCAGTGGTGACAAGGATTCCGTGTCCACTGGATGTATAGCGTGGCTCTGTTCCTGTGGAGGCTATAGTTTTTGTGAATGTGCAGATACTCCTGCTGATCAATAAGGCTGGAAAAAAACCCGCAGTAATTATTTTTGGGAAGATATAGAACAGATGCAGTTTTCATATAGATTAATGGAGTTTCATTTTAATCTCGATATTGCTTTCAATTGGCATCATCCAGTCTTATTGCTCTAGAGAGGGTGAGCTGAAAGCCTGCAGATTCCCCCCACGATATATCACAGGGGTATTTTAATAACTGGTATTTTGTGGAACTTCCAATCACTTCTCAACTTAGCAGAGACCAACTCAAAAATCAATGAAATGCCACCGATTGCCAGTGAGACATCAAGGTCCTGCCACAGCAGCAGGTGACAGGGTCACTGAACATGGCTGCTTAACACAACCATCCGTCAGGTCCCTGGCTTACCTAATTCTCCCTTTTAGTTGCTTTTGTCCCCCTGTAGCGAACTGAAGAGTCTACAGGATCACAGACACTCTTCCTGGAGCATCTGCAGGCGTCACAGGATACTGACTTCCACACATTGGCCTCTGCTCTCTCTTTCCAAAGGCGGATCTTTTTTCCCCTGAGGAAAAGTCCCCTTTAAGGACTCAAGTCCTTAAAGAAAAACACCAACATTGTCTTCAATTTAGGAAGTAGTTTTAAGGTACCCAAAATAGCAAATAAATGATCGGAAGGGAGAAGGAAGAGGACTCAGCCCACTGCCCTCCCTCTGTGGGCTCTGGACTGCATGCAGCCACCCGGCCAGCCTTGCCCTGCCGTTGCCACACTGGCCACCAAAAGCCGTGCCCTCATGTGCTGAGCTACTGTTGGGCCTGTAGCATAAAATTAACCCACTGAAGTCATTCATGGGCTATTTCTTTCCCATTTAGCTGCTTGGAAATAAATTCCCTGTCACCAGTAGAATTTCAGCTGTTGGCTCTCTGACTGGATGCCGTGACACTCTTGAAAACAGTGGGTTTTTTATTCTCCTTTTCTTCCCACTCATTAACTTCTTCCTCATTTTCTTTATTGCAATTTTGCTTAAAGCTGAGCTGGCTGCAGGCCAGCAAACTCTCAGCAGCTGAGCACAAAACATCAGGGCACTCAATTTCCCCTTGGACTACCCCATAAATAAGAGTCTTTTGATGTCTAGAGAAGTCATTCAGATACATACATTAATACCGGGTCTTTCCACAGCCAATCCTGATCTAATATCACTGAAGATTCATTCTGATCCTATTCACATCAGGACCTGTGCAGGACTCCACACTGCTTAACATGAAGTTAAGAAGAGGTGGTTGACAGCCACATATGTCAGCTCAAGGACATTTCAGGTCCATGCAAGGACTTTCTGGTCCCCACACAAGCAGGATCCTTTCTCTACCTCTTTTGATAAGCCTACTGGCCACTCAGCACATCCCAAGAGGAGCAGAACACTTGTACCAAATCTCAAGAGGAAAAAAAAAATGACACTAAGCTGATGACCAAAGAATCATCTATGAACCTTTTCTCTTTTGGGTACATATGCTATTCTTTAAGATACTAATACCTTCAGTCATGATACCTATACATATATGTTGTGATGACCAAGTAGATATTAAAGTCCTTCCATCACAGAGAGCCCGATATTGTTTTTTCTCTCTGATTGTAATTTCCTAGAAAAATAGCAAGCTTTTTTTTTAATATATATAATTTTGCATTGCATCTTGTTCACATGTCCTTTCTCACAGCTTCTCTGGATCTCTGCTTCACATTTAACTGACAGTAACTTTGCAATTAGGCTGATTAGCTGAACAGAGGCAGCTTGCAGAGGGGCTCAGTCTCTTTGTGTCAATTGGGCACTTGCAGCAAGACAAAAATCGAGAGCTAACTTCTCTTTGGGATATTTATTCATCACTGAGATGCAACAGACACAAAAAGAGAAATGAGAATTATTGGTATTATTTTGAAAACACAGATTAAATACTTCTTAGGGGACACTGTAATACACAGTGACCAAGGCTAGAGGTGCAGAAATGGGATTCTGACAGTTTGGGTCGGATTCATAGCTCTCCTACCATCTCCCAGTGCCACCGGAGCAGATCACTGCGGTTCCCCATCTGCCTAATGAGGATAACAATATTTTCCATTTGTCTTATCTACTTAGATGGGAAGCTCTGCTGGACAGACTTCTGACACTGAATGAGAGCACAGTTGTCCTGTCCTCATGGGCTGCCTGCAGGGAATATGGTAATCCAAATAATAAATAACATAATCCATCATGATTTAACACCCGGAGCTGCATTTTTTACACGGATTATCCATTAAATAACAACCCTTCTCATTGCAAGAATGAAAATATAGATCTCTGCTAAACATACAGAAAAAATACAGACTGAATTCAGGCGATCCTGCTCCTTGCACACCTATCTCTGTGGTTAACCTAAAGCACAACCTTTAGGTAGTCACTTAAGGATCAACCAGGCTCACATCTGACAATGAGAGGGATGAAAGGACATAAATCAGACTTTGTATTCGTTAACACAGAGCAATGGCACACGCTAATGCACATACATACAGCAACTGCCTAAAGGAGACACCACTACTAGGTCCGAATCATCACAACTGGTTGCTCTGGAGTGGCACAAGGAGGTGCCCCATCTCCTGCAAGGAACTGCCCTCAGTTGAAATGCATATGCCTTGCAACAGGATTAGACTAGACTTTGCCAAAATTTCTAGTCCCATGAAGAGGCTGGATATGGCTAGTGTCTCTGACGGGCCTTAAAAATGTAAAATGCACTTGCAAAAGAAAGCAAGGATGGATTCTGAATTTTGTGGCACAATAACCTGCTCTTGTAGAACATGATCAAATACCTACCAAAATCAATGGAAGTCAATAGACTAACTTTCTTAAGTCAGACTCCTAGTTTATTACCTCTGGCACTGGTTCAGGATAGGTATCCAACCTATCTGGTTTAAGCTGCCATCTTCTAAATACAGGAGAGCTCATAGTCAAGACACTTCAGTTATATGACCTGCAGCAACCAGAATGGCAGAAAGTCAAAGGAATCTTAGTGGGGTAAAAAAAAAGCCTGTTCACTGGCTTCACCCATCAGCTCACCTCTTCACTGAGATGTGAGGTTACATATAGCAGGCTTATACTTACTTCAAGAAATATACTTATTTCAAGAAATGCTAGTTCCTCTGATTTCCCAAGAGAAATCTAATGATGGAAGAGTTTATCTTTCCTCATATTGTAGCTGGAACAAAAAATGATCACTGTAAATACCCTTTTTTTTTTTTTTTTTTCCTGTGCAGTGGTATCCTAAAATATCAGCAGGGCAATTCACCCCATCTGCATATTTCTGCTGAACACATAGGAGGGTCGAGGTGTACTTTAATTACTTTTTTCCATGACATATTTTAGATTTTCATACTATTCTATTCCCCTAGGAAGAGAAAAAGCAATAAATCTGTTTCCTAAGGGATTATTGGTACAGTGTCCTGGCTACACATTGCCATTGACAAAAGAGTATCTGCCAGCTCCTTGCTTGGTGGACACTCATTCAAGTCAGGAAAACTGCAGTTTTAGACTCCCTGACTATCTTTGTTAATACAGATCATTTCTCACTTACATACATTACATCCAGCTATGCAAAAATCTTTTAAAAATCAAAATTTACTTCTGCTTTTGACTTCTCCCTCTGTCCTCTCCCACTTAAGACACTTGATCTGTCCTCTCTCCATTTGGCTAGCAAATGCCAGGGGCAAGAAAGTATTATCTTTCAGATCTGTCATTGGAGCAGCCTAACACCGAAGAGCTTAAGGTTCTGTTCTGATAATATTAATGTCATGTGTGGAGAATGCAAAAGTTCAGGATCAGAGTCTCCTCTGCTCTGCATCCTACTGTTGCAATGTTTCCTCAGTACTGCCCATTTCTCCTTCTGACTCAAGCAGACTCCTTAAGGAAGTTTAATCCCTGACTGCACCATGGACCCTCAGTGCCACTCACAAAGCGACACCACAAGAGCTGTGTCCAACACAAGAGCTCTGTGTCCCACACCATGCTGGCTTCAGCCTGGTTGTGCTGGTAGATTTTCTTCCCCTGATCCCTCCTTAATCTATTTTATGAACCCCCAATACTGCCCTCCATCCCCTGTACTTGCAGTATGTCTAACGTTTCTCTAAATCACCCCTGCTAACTCTAGTAGCACTCAGACACCCTCCCAGCTGCTACCTCCTTTCTTTCCTCTTTCCTTTGCTGTCAGGAGGCAGAACAGGAGGTGCTGGAGCTCTCCTGTGCCATTCCACTGGAAAATTGCCTTTCCGGTCCTTGTGGGTCTGAAGGCTGCTGCCATCCTAACAGCAGGATGGGGTGCACTCTAGGAGACCACAGCAGCAGGAGCTCCAAATTGTTTTTGGATACATCAGGCATGTCCATATGGCCTCTAAGTTTGTACTGTCACGAGAGCCTTAAAGGAGATCCAGGGCATAATTTCAGAGCAGGAGATGATAAGCACGCAGCATGGACAGAGCATCTGGAGACTGTGATGACAGGCACGTCATCTTTATTTGTTGTTTACGCTTAGATTTAACAGCCCTGACTTTCTCGCACACGGTACCAAGCAGAGAACCAAGGGAGGTAAATGAAACTTGCTGCTCGGAGATGTTCCACTGAGAGGAGCAACGGCTGATCTTGCACACGTATGTGCTACCTTGAGTAACTGCTGTCACAGCACGGGAGCAGCCCTGCATGCTCCTCTGGCTTGGTTTATGCCAAACCATTAGGGGGAAAAAAGTCAGAAACTCAACGTACTGAGGACAAACTTGACCTGATCCTGACAGATCAGAAGACACAGCTCATCACTGATCATAGGCCATTGATCAGAAAGCCCAAACCAGTCGATTTCCTTCCTCCTGCAAGTGGGTCTTTATATAAAGCTGTTAAAATTGCCTAGGTCTTTCAAACTCAGATTATGACTTCAACCGTCTCAAGGAAAAATTCACAGGATTACCTTACTTTCTTTTTTTGTGTCACTCATTTTAGTCCCAAGCACCTATCTGCTACAGAAATGTACTAGTCCTGTCTTGTACTGGTTAAATATAACAGAAACAAACAATTAAGGCAAAAGCCTGGAAAGAGTCCTTTACTTTATTCAAGCTCATACTCCTCAGTCAGGTAAAGATTTTTATAGGGTGACTTTACCTTGAGGGCTGTCTGTCACCAAGCTCCCAGGAGAGCAAACCAAGTATGAGAAACAGTGAGCAACAGTCTTTTCATCTGGAACTACAGCTGCAAAAATAATATAATGTGAATATAACGTGACAGAGGGATTGCCAGCTCACGAGACTAAGCCCCAGCTTCACTTTATGCAGAGATTTGCTGAACCTTGTTGTGAAACTTGAAGAAACAGCAAGGCAACTCACTGTCTGTTCTTCAGCTGAGAAGGACAGAAAATACACACCACCATCATCACCACACACTTGCTACTGCAAAGCCTGTCCAATTTTGAGCAGCATCAAACTACAGTTTGATAAAACACATTTAGATGAATGGCTCAAGCCTGAGTCAAATCATGGACAGCTGGCACCTTATTAATCTTTCATTTCACAGCAGTCTCCTTATGCTGCAACCTTTGCTTTCTGACATCTCAGTCTTTTGAGAGGTAATGACTGGCAAATCAATGTTGCCAAGTCCAAATCACTTCATTTCCAGCTGCAGCCAAAACGAACTTGTATCTTCTCAGTGCTTCATATCTGCACTGATCTTTCTGCCCAGGACTTCACATCATCGGTCCCACCAGAGCAGACATTTGGAGGAAAGAGCTACCGAAGCTGAGTAAACAACAAAGCAAGGGCACATTGAAAAAAGATGTCTTCACAAATCTCTCCTTCTCTGAAGAGTTCAGGGAAAATATTCAAACACCAATCCTTCCCTTCTGAAAGGGTTCAGTCTCCAAGAACAAGCTAAAAAGTACGGTCAGGAATGATGTGGCAGCTCCTCAGAGCCATCAAATACTGACTCAAACACAACTCACATCTTTTCCACGTCAAATGTGTAACTTTTGCTGAAATACAGAGCATTTTGACATGCACCGCAATTGCACCAGCACCTTGAGACAACAGTTACTGCATAGTCGCTTAATACTCACACTCAGCAGGAGGCACTTGTTTTCTTTGATGGCACCTATGCAGCCCACGAAGCCGATGATCATGACAAAAGTCCCCGTGACAATCAGTAGGTTGGCGGCCGACAGCGATGGGAAAGAAGAGGAGAGGGTAGCAAAATTGCCTTGGGTAACAGCCAACCAGATGCCAACTCCAAGGATTCCACAGCCTCCCAACTGGGAAAACAAAGAGAAACAGAGCAACTCAGTCACTGTATCCAAGCAACCCCAGATATTAATCACTAAAAAGGCTCTGCTGGGGCAAATTCAACATAAAATTTCATCCTTTTCCTCCAGCACCAGGCAGAACAAAAACCGTAGGAGAAAAAAAAATAAATTATTTTTTCATTTTACAGAACAAGAACTTATGCACAGACCCACACAGTAAGACACTACACTCAAGAGAAAGGCCCAGATTTCCCAAATCCAAGCCACAGTTTCAAATATCTTTTTCCCTATGGAAAAGTGAACACTGAATAAAGGAGAAATTCCCAACAGTTCTGGTCTCAAAGGCACTGAGGCAATCTGTGCCATATTTAGGTAACTCAGAGAGCAGCCCAGCAGGAAGGGCTGAAACAATCTAGACCTTGTGTTCTTCTGCTCCCACTTCTCCCTCTCCCATCCCTGGCACGTGCCATTTCAGGTTTTGCTACAGCATCCCCTAGGAGGACACTCAGCACCTTCTCTTACTTGATTCGGGTCAGTCAGAGCTCATTTACAGTGTAAAGGGGCCCGGAAGGGAGGCGGATTCCTCCCTCAAATACTGCAAGCAAAAGTCTATGTTTATGTGTAAGGTGGCCTATTGGTGGGATAATGCAGCTCTCAGAAGAAGACCTGGCTGGTTTGGGAGAGGTTTGAGAGGAGATCGAAGTTCATGTTCCTTTAACATGTGTGCAAGGAGAGGGGAATGCTGCCGTGCCACCAGAAAACCTAAAATTTTACAATTGTTACAATTTTACAATTACAATTTAACAATTGTTGTGTACAAAAGGAACTTTTAAAAATGCAAACATTTACCAGCCTGCAGCTTATAATTGGGAGAAAGCCTGCAGAATTGTAACCATTTGAGTAAAGCAGAACAATTAAATAGAATTAAACCAAAGGGGATTTTTGCATTATCACATATGGCAAAGCGTCACTTAGGTTTCTTTCTCTCTTCCCTGCTATCCTTTTAAAATAACAATTTTTTATTGAGTTTTATAATTGCCCTTTATTATCCAAATCAATTAAAGGCTAGGAAAGAAAATGTGTTCATGAGCAGTAAGTCAGGGACAGGAGCATATCAATTAAATATCTGTATAAAATGCATGAGCAGAGGGCAGCTCACAAACCAAAGGGAAAAGACAGAGCTAATCCTGGGGCAGAGCTAACACTCAGAAATGAACCACAGAAGAGAAACACAAAAGCAAAGGCAATTTCTTAGTACTAATTGCTAAGGTTTTCTCTACACAGGACTGAATTCCCTCCCGATAAAGGACAAAAAAGAAGGCTGCGTCCCAACATAGGGCTGGTGCCCAGTGCAGAACAGTCTAGTCTACTCTCAAGAAAGAAGTCAGGCTGTTACCCTGCTGCAATGAACCCCAGTTGCATTAGACAGCATGACCTCACTAAGGGAAGGCAGTCTCCAAGATCCCAGGACTCAAGAGATCTTATTAAGGAGCCTCTTTAGAGACAGGCATCCTGGATCTCCATCGTGGTCCGCGCCTAAAGTGCCATCCGTAAGAGCTAAGAAGAGCCTGTCCAGACCATGGTCACATGCACTGAAAATATGTCCCCTCTACACATGTTTACAAAATACAATCTTTAAAACAGCCTAAAACGACTGCAAAGTTATTAGAGGACAGGAAGGGGAAGAATAGCTACAGAAAGCAACCCACAGAAAATGATTTAGTTGGGCCTGAGATATTATGTACAAAAGTAATAAATCAACATGGGCCAAAGTAAAAAGCTCTGCGGTCAGAGAGGGAACCCATTCCACAAGCCCTGCTTGTCTCCAGAGCAGCATCCAAGGACCAGATACTCGGATCACAGCTGCTTGGTCAGACCACTATGCTCCCAGGAACAGTGCCAGACTGGGAGAGAAGTGAAGTGGAGAACATTTCCCTTTCTGACTCCACAGATGGGTCCGTGTCCTTCCTCAAGATTGATCCCTGAACTCCAGGTCAGTAAGGCCACCCAAATAGCCAAATTAGACTCAGTGAATGCTGATGCTAAACAGTTGCAGAAGCATCCATTTGGAGCGCATTTAGCTAGGGATTTTGTTCGGTCACCTCTCAGATGCAGCTCTGCTTTGACGGACGTGACCACCTACAAAGCCTGTTGGTGCTCAAGATGGCCATTTAGCAGCTTTGAGCCTCAGGTCTAAAATACTGAGTGCAGAAACACCAGCAGCAGGTTCTTCCCAAGAATGGGACTTTGCTGCTGGCTATGGAAGGAGCAGTTTCTTCAACCCACAACAGACTGCTGGATGGCATTTCTACCCCAGGGTCAAACAGCAGAGCTGGTGGATTACTCCGAAAGCACAGATGTGGTCTGTCTCCCTGTGAGACACAGGCACACACTTGCTCTTGGCAGAAGAGTGGCCTCCGGAATTAGATCCTCCAAATTGTTCTAACGAGCTAGAAAATAAATTATTCAGGCTTCAGCGCATGCACTGAGAATTGATCTTACAATATTGTAAACAAAGTTATCCCAAACAGCCCCGGATATATGTGTGCTGCTGGAGGAATTAATTCTGAGGCTACAGCTACACACTTAAAATACTGCAGGAGGAATTGCCTCATTGCTCATGGTAATGGTACTGGTGTCTTTAAGTGGTATTTCTTTATTGGTTTTATTGCACTGAAAATGCCTCTAATCAAGGTTTCTCGTATTGTTTCTGATTAGGAGCTACGGTTTTCCCACCTGTCCTGCTCTCCATATTTCTAGAGTAAAGGGGAAATGATGTTTGGCCTTCTCCACCCCCAAAAACTTCCCCCTATCCACTACAGAATAAAACTGTCCAATGGAAAATGAACAGCCAAGTGTTAATAGTAGTGATGGGAACATTATCATAATAGTGGCACATGTTCTTGTGATGGGAGGCATATTTAGGCTGCTTTTTCTTTTAGCCAGGTTCCTAAGTGAGGTGGAAACAGAGCATTAGATGCACTGGCTACATCAAATGATTGAGGCACCCTGCATGGGAAATGGAGAAGAGCACTCGCTCCGGCGCACAGCTCGGCTGCCCGTACAGGCACGTGAGAACAACCTCCCAGGTGGACACTGGCAACACAGAACTGCAGGCAGGGCCTGATGTCAGAGCTAAGGCCACATCACACCCTGATATACACACACCAGCTTAGCACAGCACAACTGCAGTTCTTCTGCTAGTCAGAGCGCTGGAGTTTAAGAAATGAAAAAGGTAAGGGCGGTAGAAAAGTTAATCTCTTTGGGCTTCTGATTTTGAAAAGTTAAAAGGAGTAGGAATTGGGACCTGAGCACATTTCTGGCCTCGGCCTATTCAGACTCCAGAGCTCTGCAGTGCCAAGGTGAAGAACGTGGGCAGCATCTCACCCAGCAGGGCTGTGCTCCCTTCCATGGGTACTACCTGATAAATCAGTAATTTAAAGAAAAAGAACAACAACAACAACAACAGAAAATCGCAGTAAGGAGGGACCATATTCTTGGGAGCAGAAGAGACTGCAATAGTAGCTGTCCATTAAATCCTGTGTGGAATGGGGAATTGGCTATTCCCTCTTCCTGAGATACAAAAAGCTAGAGGTCATTTTGGTCAGAGGCTTTAAAACCAATAAAAGGAAGCATTTTTTCACAAAACATTTAATTAAATCCTGGAATTCATTGCCTCGGAGTTTTGTGGATACCAGAAGATAAGCAGGTTCACAAAGGAATTACACAATCCAAGGAGGACAAGATGCTCCCACTTTTATTAAAAATGATAGTTTGCATGCCTACTCTGCAGAGAAAGTCCTTTGACAGTTAATTGGAGGAGATTGGAAAAGTGCCCTTTTTCTTATATTCCCTCTAAGCGTCCCTGAGAAGCCCCAACCAAAAATAGGGCACTCAGCTAGAGGAAAATTTCTCATCATTATGGATATTTAAGTGTTCATCCTGCCATCTTATGTTCTCCTCCTAGATTTAATGTTCACCTATGATTTGAATTTGATTTTTTTTTTCTCTTTTGCCTGGTTTGGAATCAGTCTATTTTCAGAGTAAAGAGGGTTATAGATACGGACCTCAGTCAATGAGTTATGTCCCTTGCTCTCCCTACCTACTTACAATACTCTTACGCATGCGCCAATGAAAGCAAGATTGGTGGCAAAGAAAAAAACAAGTTTATTGTTTTTCCAGGTCCATTGCATATATAAAGGCTGTATTTCTTTTCCAGTGAGCAAAGGGAGCATGTTCAGTATCTTTTCTTTCTGTCTCTGGACAAGACCTTCCATCTACTATCCTTCTCCCAAAAGTTCTAATCCCCTAGAACTTTTGAATTTTAATATAGAATAGTTGTGTAAATATGCCCATGAATGACCAACTCTTGTGGTGGTGCCATTGACAGTGAAACGAGAAGTGGTGAAAGAACTTACAAAAAATACAATTCTAAATGCATTTTTGAACCAGAAATAAGGTACTCCATTTCTGCTCTTCTCACACATGCCCTCCCTTCTCCTCTTTAGAGCCAACTTCTGCTCCTGCCACCACAGTGCAGATTTTCATTCGTGTGTGGAATTTGGACAGTCACCAGCACGCTCTCATCATTCACAGCACTTGAGCCGTCTTGCAATTTGCATCAAAAAAAATCAATGAAAATTGGGTTTGTAGGTCCTTAAGACCATTGTGGAAAGCCTTTCCTTCCACATGGCTGAGGCAGCTCAGAGCTCGGATGAATGAAAACACATCCTTTCCGCCTCATGGGCCACCTACTCCTCTTGGGCCTGGTGACTGCGAGATGACTTGACTCAGTGTAGTCCCCACAAGTGGCCTCTGCAGAGCTGCAGAGGAACAGAAAAGTCCTCTGTCTCTGGAGCTGTGGGGTTTCAGCAGTAGGGCACATGCCAAGGTTTGCAGAGATTCATTGCTGTCCATTTTTTCAGACTAGTGTTTTATTTTTATTTCATTCTGATGATATTTCATCCCACTACTGGACTGTTTCATTAGTATCTCCATGACTTACAGGG